TCCCTTTGTCATTCCACACTGTGCTTTTCTTCGCTCCTAGTAAATATCTTTTGAATGAAATTGAACCTTGGTTTGATGCCTTAATGAAAAAAGACTCTCAGATGGGAGATAAAGTGATAATCCAGTATTTACAGCCTCATCCCACTTTTGTTTGCCCCACTTAAAAAAAAAATACTTACCTGTCTTTATTTGACGCCTTGTGTACCTGAAAGTGTTTCCTCAGATTAGAAAATGAACCATCTCAGCTGGTCAGACCTTCAGATCTCTGCTAGTCATATTCCACTGAATTACCCTTTGCATTTATGAGCAGAAGAGAGATACAGAAAATTAAACTCGTCTCATTCTGATTACTGAAGTCCTTTGGTAGAAGAAGTAAACTTGTACTTGTATTTTAATTTTTTTTAAGGGACGTGGGACTGCTGACCTGAGCCGAAGTGTAGTTAGGCGTTGCTATGCTACCAGCGAGACTGGGGCCACTTTCCCCACTTGTGTATAACACAATCCTTTATTGCATTCCCCCTTAATATCTCTGTTTGGATGTAATGCCACCAATTTGAAATGTGTATATATTGCTTCCTGCCCTTGAGGACCTTCGTCAAAATGAGATATTTTAACTAAAATGAGACACTCACAATGTCCTCCTGCCCTGTATTTATTTTGTCATAAAACCCCGTGCATCCAGGAGACTGTGATTTTTCAAGTTTATTATCTCAAAAGTGATTTTAGAAATATTACCAAATAATAATACATGATTGAAAAGCAAAGGAGAAATTCCGTCTGGGTGACAGTCGCTATTTATAAAATCCTCCAGCCATCTTCTCCCAGGTTGAGGTACAGGCGGAATTGCTCAGGTAACTCACAGGGCTGGTTTCAATAGAAAATTTGAACCATAGCACTTTCTGGTGTGTTTTTGTTTTCTTGTGTTTAAATGCAAGTTGCACGTTGAAACTAAATTCTTCTGATTTTAGAAAATTTTAGAAAGTTTATGCATATATATATATATA